GTTTGGTCAATTTCAGACTGTAGAAGCTGATAAAATTCTTCAATTTCCTCATCTTTGGCTTTGGTGGTTGGGGCATAAATTTGAATAACAGTCATATATACTACTTATTAAAGAAATGTGCAGTTAACCAATCTCACATTCTAGTAATTGTTGCATTTCATCGCTTACATAAAAATGATAAATTTTCAGATGTTTGCCAGCTTGCTTATTGAAGACATTTATAATCTGGTTCCATGCCTTTTTCTATTAATCATCCTTTATCATTCATTTTAATATCTATTCTAAGGTAATTTTCCTCTCAAGAGGAATCTCAGTCTTGACATTGATGCCTCCTTTCCTTATAAAATCAACAGAGTAGGCTTATTTCAAGTTGTGTTCCCAGTTACCAATGTTGGTTTTAAAACTGTTTGACTGTGCACTTACTCCTCTATATTTGATTGATATCAGAGAGCTTAAGTTAGATTCAATTCTAAATTATTAAAACACATATCCATAAAAAAAGGAAATAGCCAACTGTAGTTTTATGACACTCACATGAGGTAATGTTATTTTATAAATAAGTAGTATTAAAAGATATTAAACTGGCATATATCATATAATTAGAGAATTCTGTAATAATTTAATGGATCATATTAGTGACTTTATTTAAAACTGTTCAAAGTACATTAGAATTAGTTTTATAACTTTTACATATTTGATAAGTTTGAAAAAAAAAGAAATTCACTACCATCAAGTCGATTCCAAAGTAGATGTGATTAAAGGATCCATCAAGTAATAATACTTCATTATATTCCTTTGTCTTTAAATCATTTAGATTAAAATTAACTATTGAAAATACTTCTGAAACATTGTGTTGTGTTTTTTTTAAGCAAGCAGATCAAGTAAATATACAGTCAACTCTCAATTATTCAAACTAATGGAGGAGAGGATGGAAACAAGCATTAAATATATCTCTAGTTCCTGCCCCTTCAGTTAATTAATGAGAGCCTCATTCCAAACAATTTTTTTGGTTTTCCATCTTGATCATGTTACATTTTCTAATCCTTTCATCCAGGATTCAGTCTGAAATGTTACTTAAGATTGAGTTGACAAGAAAGTTTCACACTCTGTTCTTCTTATACTTTTTTTTTTTTAATCAGTGCCTTAGCATTGCATTTGTACTAATAAAATTCACATGAGAATTTAATGGCATCGCTATTAGGATATAATCCTGATGGTTCTTAAAATTAGTTATATATGAAAAGTGTTATCTTTGAATTATAGTTTACAGAGGATTAAAACCTTTCAAAAGCATTACCTCATGGTACCAAATTGCTTTTTACAATTTTTAATATAAAATTTTTATGAGAAAGTTGCTATCTTGAGGAGTCTTTTATAAAAATTCTTCCAACTCTAAATTCTTAATGTGTGCAGTACTTTTGAGTACGATGTAAGTGTCTGTAATGTGAAGAAATGCTGAAGGAATTTATGTGTGAAAACAGTATGTTGCGTGTATATAATACGTCATTTTCTCTACCAATTAACCGTATACAGTGTGCTATTATCCAGACATAAGCATTCATGGGAATGCATGTATCTGGATAACTGCTAGTTGAAATAAACACACCTGCCTTTTATTTCAGTAACAGCACATTCAGATCCACATAAGATATTTCTTTGAATGTGACCTCTTTATATTGAGACAACATTGGTTTCAGCATTTGATTTTGTTGTTGATGTTCTGTTGTTGTTGGTTTAAATCTAAAGTCTGTTTAAAAGTAAGGATAGTGCTTCTCTGGAAGACTTTGCATGCAGAGAAAAGGAAATTCAAAGGTAAATCCTATAAAAAATCATCTTTTCTTTTTACAAAATGTAGCAATGTTTAAAGCCAAACAATGTACAGCCCATAAACTAGTCTGGAGATGTGCCTACTTTAAGTTAAATCATTTATTTTTCTTTCTAGAATAAAATTACAGTAGTCTTTCATTTGGA